TAAATATGATTAAATTCAGCGTCATACCCTTGTCTTGCGCCAATGTCTTAGACGTAAAGTCTCCGACTGATATCAAATCAGTCGGGTTTCGATCCCGGCTTGAGTCAATCGGATGTCTAGCCACACTGATTAGCTTGAATGTGCGTATATATATATATATATAGTGCTGCACATTATTAAAAAAATCTTAAGAAATAAGGAAAGGTTTGTGCCAACTATCACATACTGCATATTAGCCTTTATTTAGAAACCATTTCATTTACAGTGTGCGATGGATAAATTTATTTCGCGCCTTGTTTTTATTTTATTTTGTCGACTGTGCAATATAGTAGGATCAGTTGGGAATCTTCTTTGAGAAAAAAGAGCACCATGACGTAATTCACTTCGCTAGAAATTTAGAAATGGCATGCTGTACTGCTCGGCATTCCTGTCGGAAGATCCAGTACGAAATTTCCGTGTGTTTAGGTGTCAATCTGAGGACAGTTCAGGCGATTTGGAAATAGTTGGATGAGTCTAATTGTGATTACGAAGATGGCGTGATGGCTACGTTATGCATCCATTCATGTTCCCAGCGAGCTTCAGACTGAACACAAAGGCCTACATTAAATACTTTGAGGAGGTAATGTTGCTCTGGGTCTAGAATGTATCTGCTGGAGGACCCTTTGTCTGGCAAAAGACCCCTGAACCATGCCGCACAAACAGGAGAACCCAGTCATAGCTTTCAGACAATTTCTCCAACCATATCACCCATCTGGCCATCAGACTCCACACCCATCATTAATACGTGTGGGTCGTAGTTGAGCGAGAGATCAACAAATCTCCTTGTAACACCGAGGATTAACTGTAGGCAAGGATTATGGCAGCATTCATGAAATTAAACAAGGAGACCGTCCAGAAGAGTTGCAGGAGATTCCAAAGTTGTCTGGAGGCCGTCGTTGAATAAAGATTCAAGATATTTTGTTCAGTTTTGGTAAATACATTTGTTAAAATGGGTTGTCAGTGTTATTTATTTTAATTTTTTTGCGTAATTTAGACGACAAATTATCCATCACACACAAACACACATAACAATCTTTTGAAAAATAGTTACTCTCTCTCTTTCTCTCTTTCTCACTCGAAATTTACTTCTTCAAAACTATTGAGTAGAAAACTTATACACCCCAATGAATGAGGTCGTTTACAAGAACATGCTATTATTATTATTATTATTATTATTATTATTATTATTGTTATTATCATTATATTATATAATACGTGGCATATATTTCATATACTTTTTATGACCAAAGCTAATCAAATTCTGTCACGCTTTATGGTAATTTTCTGATTCAGTGTCGAAAGGATCTCACCTAACAAATTTCCCTAGAGATTCTATTATTCGAATTTACATGGTCAATCTAGTTCTTATATATATATATATATATATATATATATATATATATATATATATATATATATATATATTATATTATCTGATCTCTGCTAGAGATGTCTTAGTGGTATATATTCTGTCATATTTGCAACCAAAGTAGCGTTTCCAGGACGATTTCAAAAGATTCATCGCAAGAGGGTGTGACTGTAGATGGATACTAATGTCAAATGCCGCAAAGACCTCTTATAATATTAAAAGAATAAAGATCTGACAAGAGAGAAATGTAGAATATTTATTTTGTTAAATAGTGAGTAGTTTTCCAACAACGATGTTGAAGCTCCATTTTCAGCAAACGATGTCTGAAATGGTCGGAACATAAAACTCAATTTATTCTTATCTTTATTTAATCATTTCACTGCAAGCAAGGCAATAATGCTACTGAGATGCAAATGGTTCTCGGGTGTCAAAGAGAGTTTTTAGGTGAAAGGATCGGAAGCCCAATCATAAAAAGGCAATAAGGGATGCACCTTTATTCTTTCTTAAAAGAACAAGGATGAGAGGGCTCAGTATATCCTGATTATTACATCGTCCAACACAATTTTCTTGTACACAGGAGTTTGTCACGCATTCCGGCAAGATAATGCCTATTACAAAGGGGCACAACATTGAATAGATTTTTGTCGCCCATTATATATATATATATATATATATATATATATATATATATATATATATATATACAGTTATTATTAATGAGTTTTCTTTTAAATATTTTGTCTTAAAAGTAGACAACACTTGTGCAAATCATTTAATAAGACAGGTCTTAATGAAAATATGCCTCCAAAAATATATATATATATATATATATATATATATATATATATATATATACCTACCTATTGATCTAGATGTATAACTTTATGGAGTAAAATATATACACATATTTTTGAATATATAAACATTATTCTCACTCTCTCTCAATATAATATATATATATATATATATATATATATATATATATATATAGTAGTTAGTTTATGCAAATTTAGGTAATCCGTATGGGTAGACCTGAGTAGGATGATATCCAGAGAGCTCAATGTAAAATTCAGAGCAGATATGTTTGAATAAAAGACAGACCACGTTAAGATGCCATGTAATAAGCTATTTCACCATAACCCCTTTAACAGGGTTCTGGATCATCGGACTTTACTTCCAAAAGCTGAAATGAAAAATGAAAAGAAATTCACACGCTTTTGACGGACCTCATCAAGTATACGTAAAATTAACTATTTAAAATTATATATATATATATATATATATATATATATATATATATATATATATATATTAACTATACCTATATATCTAGATCGATACTTTTGAGTTAAATATATACATGTATCTTTGTATATATCAACCTCATTGTCACTTTCTTTGTCTTCAGAGAGTGAGAATATATATATATATATATATATATATATATATATATATATATGTATGTATGTATGTATATAAATAATAAAAGAACAGTAAGATATATAATCCGGTGTTCTTATAGATATTTTTATTTTTACAAAATAGTGCTCAATGTAAAAAAAAAAAATCCAGACGACATGCTTTTAACGGATGTTAGATTTCATTGAAAAATACATCCCTACCCACTACCAAAACGTAGCAATAACTGATACATTAAAGAATAGACACCGAGACACCCCTCGTCTGGTAAATTGGATTCATCTGTAACCTTGGAAACATGAATTATGATTTTAGCTGTGTCTTTAAAACCCAGTAATTTTAAAAGTTACTCCAAAATTCGCTTGAGGATGAAATGGAAGTAATGTCTTTAATTTAATTACAAAATTAAATTCGGGGCTTTTAGCTTCCATTTTTGAAACATGGTTTGAACTGTGTAGCGAAAAAACATATTTTAAATATATATATATATATTCAAACTTTCTGAAGACAAATATATATATATATATATATATATATATATATATATATATATATATATATATATATATATATGTACATTCTCGCTATCTAGATAAATAGGTATAGTTAATATATATATATATATATATTTATATATATGTATCTATGTATGCATATATATCGTGTTTACAAAAATCCGTCATAAGGGGTAATGAAAGCAGTGAGAAACGATTTCGCCTTGAAAACTCCAGAAACTCAACTCGACTGCTCAACTCGACAATTCGCGTTGACACATGGAAACATGAAACTGTGGCCTCACTTAATCAAACTTTTCTAAGTCTTCACCAACCTCAAATTTCACCGGACTTATCTTGATCTCTGGAACTTTGCTTGCGGTTGCAAACGTCTCTTATTTATATTTCTTGGACAATTGTTTTCCTTGCTATCATTTTCATTACTGGACAACCCCCATCCCCTCTTCCATCAATTTCCACTTTCTTTCTTTTCATTTTCATCGATATACACTTCTCTTTCTCATTCGCTTTCTTTATGTTAGAGTTCATCTTATTTATTAACTTTTTCTTCGTTTTTGATTATTGCACATTGCATTACACAATCCATCAGGTTTTTCTTTCTTTCCACTTCTTCTTTCCATTTTCTTTCTTTCCTTTTTCTTTTTTCTTTCCATTTTTTCCTTTCTTTCTTTCTATTTTCTTTTGCTTTCCATTTTCTTTTTATCTTTTCATTTTAGTTCTTTATTTCCATTTTTTCTTTATTTCTTTCTTTCTTTTCAGTTTTTGTTTCTTTTTTCTATTTCCTTTCTTTTCATTTTGTCTTTCTTTTTTGTTTCTTTACATTTTCTTTCTTTATTCATTATTTTTCTTTCAAGTTTCCTTCTTTCTCGTTTATTTTCATTCTCTTTCTTTTCTCGTGATCTTTCGTTCCATTTTCATTTCGTTTTCTTTCTTTATTCATTATCTTCCTTTCTTTCAAATTTCTACTTTGTCGTTTACTTTTCATTTTCTTTCATTTTGCTTTTGTACTTTTTTCTTTTATACATTTTCTTAACTTTTTCTTTCTTTTGTTTAGCACTTTTTCTTCCTTGTTTGTTTCATTCCGTTTTCTTCTTTTTTCTTGAATTGTTATTAATATATTCTTCTTTTTTTTTCATTTTCTTTCGTCACCTTTTTATTCGTTCTCTCCATTTTCTTCTTTCTTTGCATTTTTTCCTTATTTCTTTTCATTTTCTTCCTTTCTTTTTTTCTCAATTTCCTTCTTTTCATTCTCGTTCTTCCTTTCCTTCCATTTTCTTTCTTTTCTTTTTCTTTACATTTTCTTTCTTTCCGATTTCTTTCTTTCTTTTCGTTTTCTTTCTTCATTATCTTTCTTGCTATTTTCTTTCTTTCTTCATTAACTTTCTCTTTCAATTTTCTTTGTTTCTTATTTACTTTTCATTTTCTTTTTTTCGTTTTTATTACTTTCTTTATTTGGTCTTTTTCTTTCTTTTTTCATTTTGTTTTGCACTTTTTCTTTCGTTGTTTCTTTCTTTCTTTATTCTTCTTTCCTTATTGAATTGATATTAAAATATTCTTCTTTTCTTTTTATAAATATTCAATTCATTATTACTTCCCAACTTATTTAATCAACATTCTTCGTTTATAATTATTTTTATTATTCTCTACCACCTTTCTAGCATTTCCTTCCTTCCTGTTTTGTTTCTCAGTTTCTTTATCTATCTATCTATCTATCTATCTATCTATCTATCTATCTATCTATCTATCTATCTATCTATCTAATTCTTTCACATTTTCGGAACTGTGTTTGCCATTTATATCATTCCACCCATTCTTCTTCTGGAAATATTCTTTTTTAATTTACACACAAAAAAACAAACATATACAAAAGCACGCACCTATAAAATCATGAATGTAAACACATGAATATGAATTTTTATATAAAAATATTAACAAACACAATTTTTTCTATGTGTCCAATACTTCTTTTTCATAATTTATATATATAATATATATATATATATATATATATATATATATATATATATATATATATATATATATATGCATATATCCCTCGTGGGAGTGGTCTTTGTCGAAGGCGTTGATTCACTCATGTTTTATTTTCTCTCTCCTGTCGCTAACTGCTTTTGATTCGGAGATAAAAAGACATCAACTAAGATAATTTAAAGCTTCCATATTTTATTAAACACGTCGCTGTGTATATTTCTAACTATCCATTGGGGTCGTTCTCGTCATCCACTGGGTATAAGATTTAGACACGAAATCAACACACCTACATTGATCGAAGTTTAAGATAAAAGTCCCCACAAAAACGTTGTCATTCTCACGCTAGTTCAGCCAATCAAAATCGACTTCATTTATTTTGTCTTGTATCGGACTCTTAAGCTCAACCTAGGGAAGTCAGAGCAGAAATACACTTATAAAAAGTTTCATTCCATTGGTGTAGTTGAATCGAAAATAATATAATTTTGCAATTCCAAAGGTTAATTTATTGTCAAAACATATATTTCGGAGGTGCTTTTGCAATCATTGATCAATCTTGAGAAATAAATGAATCAGTGACCAAGCTACACACTGTATAAGTTATAAATTCAAATAAAAAAAAACAAAAAAAAACAACAAAGAAACGATCGAATTAAGATCGAGAGACACGCGTAAGCTGAAGTCGGGAGAAGTACTTAAAGAAATAAACTTCTCCAAAAATATTAGCTAAACTATTATTTAGCACACAGATAGAGGTATATATATATATATATATATATATATATATATATATATATATATATATTATTCCTCATCAGTAGCAAGATTCAGAATTTCTTCTTCAGGTGCTAAACTGAGAATGATATTACATAATTATATAATAATTATAATATATCTTGTAGAAATAGTAGGGCAGTTCATATTTTATATGGGGAATGCTGTTTAAATATACCTAATTGTGTATTTAAAATAAACATAAATATGGCGATAAAGGCAAAAAATTGAATTTTGTAAGTAAAATAAACACAAAAAGTGGAAAAACGTAGACTCATCAACACAAATTATTTACATCGAGTTACAAAGGTAGAATTGTAGTCAAAATATAATATTCACATCTAGGTATTTATAATAAAAGAAATATAATACATAGAGATTTACTCACAGTTATCATAGTATATCTAAAGATGTAAATTAAGATATTATATATATACATATATATATATATATATATATATATATATATGAATGCTTATTTATATATGAATGCATATATCTATAAGTGCGCATATATAAATGTATGACTGCATAAATATATATGCACATAAATCCATATATATATATATATATATATATATATATATATATATGAAGAAAATATCTGGAAAACCAAACAAAAATCCTTAGAATGTGATTATGTTGTTTTAATTATGAATGAAATGTCGACGTCTGACGTTTCGGTTTAATAACCTTCTTCAGGACAATATTCATTAAAAATACAATACAATTAACATAATCAGTACAACTCGACGAAAACGATGGACATAAAAAACAAGTCTTATCCAAAACAGATGATAGAAAATTTTGAATGATCAGCTTTCCGTTTGAGCGTGGTCACGTTGTCGTCAAATGGGCGACGCTTTAAAAACGTATTCTTAAAATTTTATAAAATTTGATTCCGATGGAAAGCAGTTCGTTGTAGTAATACGCGGAGACTTGTTTTTTATGTCCATCGTTTTCGTCGAGTTGTACTGATTATGTTAATTGTATTGTATTTTTAATGAATATTGTCCTGAAGAAGGTTATTAAACCGAAACGTCAGACGTCGACATTTCATTCATAATTAAAACAACATAATCACATTCTAAAGATTTTTGTTTGGTTTTCCAGATATTTTCTTCATTCTGTCGGATTTATATCCATTTATATTTGCTAACATATATATATATATATATATATATATATATATATATATATATATATGAATGCCCATAGACACACACACACACATATATATATATATATATATATATATATATATATATATATATATATATATATATATATATATATATATATATATATATATATGAAAGCATATATATATATATACGAATGAATATATATATATATATATATATATATATATACGAATCCATATCTATATATGAATGTATATATAAATATATATATGAATAAATATATATATATATATATATATATATATATATATATATATATAATAAAATATATATATGAACACACAAACACAGACACACACATATATATATATATATATGAACACATATTTATATATATGAACACATATCTATATGAAGACACACATATATACTTATATATATATATATATATATATATATATATATATATATATATATATGAAAGGACATATATAGATATTTATATATATACATAATATATATATGCACATATATATATATGAATGCATATATATATATATATATTTATGAATAGATGCATATATATGCATATATATGTATGTATATATTTACATATATATATATATATGAATGCAAATATATATATACATGTATGAATGCAAATATATATATATATATATATATATATATATATATATATATATATATATATATATATATGAATACATACTTAAGCACCCAAATCCTCTATTGTTTTAGAAGCCCTTCCCCTATTTCTTTCCTGCACTGTTATTTTTGTAATTATGTTTTTATTTGTTTATTTTTCAGCACCATCTATTTTCTAACTGTGGTTTTCGGAGAGAATCTTTATCATAATATTTTATCTTTTTTTCCGCTTCCTATCCTCTTTTCTGCCTTTCATTTTATTTTTATTACTTTTTGCCTTCTCATTCTTTATCCATCTTGTTAAATTTATCAACACTGACCTTATATGGGACGTCTTGCCCACCCCAAATCTTACAAGACTCTTCCCTTTGTTCAAAATAACACTCCCCTATCTTCCACACCGATGAAGACAAAACAGGCTAATGCCTTCACTTCGATCATTTTCAAAGGAAGTTTCGCACGCGAGGAATCAGGCAGGTATCGGATTTTACTATTAGTACCATCTACAACGTATTCACACCAGACACAAAAACTACTGGTGATTCTTCACCGTTTCTTTGCTTCTTTCTCGCACCATTGATAAAGGACACAGGCGTGCCCGAAAATTCTAGACTAATAACATTAATGCCCGTGCTTCATTTCTGTCTTGTGGTTAATAATTAGTATATAGTAAACGCTTTTCGCACTGATTACATTGGTAACCTTTCTTTCCTTGTTTTATTAACCAACATATCTATTATACGCACATACAAATATATATATATATATATATATATATATATATATATATATATATATATATATGTTGAAACTTGACTAATGCATAGAATAAATGCAAACACAAAATGTACTTAGAACAAAATGTATTGAAACAAGAAAGTGTACACAATATTTACATATAGTCTTTTGTATATTCCTGGTAAGACTGTTCCTGGAGAATGTGTTGACTGAGTCACAGTCGGCAGAGTCTCTGGTTGAATCTCTTGATTCCTCCCACTCTTCCGGGTACCAACCTTATTTATATGGTCGGTACTCCACTATGCAAATTAGGTGGATCCTAACACAACAATATATATATATATATATATATATATATATATATATATATATATATATATATATATATATATCAAGCAATTGGACGTCTAGCCACATTGAAGAGCTTTGATACAGTCTGCATGTGGATGACAATATATGTCCTCGGAAAACCGGTCGAGCTCTCTTGGGAAATGGGTAAATTTAAAAACATTGGAGCTTACTGTTATTAACGCATTGCTCTTCAACTGTATTCAACTTCGTACAGAACAATTTTAAAATATCACTTTTTCTCTGGTGTGCGGTGATAGCCTAGGGATGATATATCTGATTTATTTCCAATCGGTCAGAATTCGATCCCAGTTTGAAGCAATCGGCCGTCTAGCCACACTGAATAGCTTTGGATCAGCGAAACAGTCTGTGGATGACAATATATATATATATATATATATATATATATATATATATATATGAAGGAGTTAATATCTAATTATATAACTTCTTTTATCTACCGTGTGCTTTCAGTGCGTAGAGGATCATGACACTTCCCATCTTCCTTGTCCCATGTAGCTCTTAATAGCTTCTGTCTTTTTTTTTGTATTTCCCAAATATATCCTATCAAATATGTTACACGATGCTTTCCTCTGTTTCTCTTTCCCTCAATCTGTCCTGTGGCTGTCATATTTTCCGAGCCCTCCTTCCTCATTACTTCCCCCCAAAAATTTCAACTGTCTCTTCCTGGTGTTAAGTATTAGTTTCCTTTTTGATTCCATTTCCTCCAAATCTTCGTCTTTGCTCAGATGTTCGGTTCTTGGTATCCATAGCATGGTGAGGTAAAAATGTGTGTGTGTGTGTGTGTGTGTGTGTGTGTGTGTGTGTGCAATCTTCATTAAATATGAGAGACCAGATGCTTCTTTTATTCCAACATTTCCTTCTCTCGCACTTTCCAACAGTGGAACTCCCTTCCTCTTACTTGTTTCCCTGAAAACTATAATCTTCATAAAATTAAATGCAATGTAAATCGAAATATTCTGATGCCTTGATATTGATACCAGTTCTTCTCTTTATCCTTTCCTAAAACACTCTTCTTGACTCTTACTTTCCTTCACGGTAACCCTGTGCGTGCTCATGGCATTTTCACCTTGGTTAGGGTGAAATGATTAAAAAATATTACTCTATCTGAAAATGTTTACACACACGCACACATACACGCGCACACAGAGAAACGCGAA